TTCAGCAGTTCTAGCCAGAGGCCTGCTTCCCAAAATTACAACCACAGATATGTCACGGGGAAGGAGCACTCTACACATCAGAACAACTAGTTCTTTTTTTTTTTTTCCTAAGTATTTAAAAGAAGATTTGTACATATATTTTCCTTCACTTCACAATCAACTAATTTTAGATACCAGGAAATCAGGAAACTAAGGTAATCCTTCCCAGTTATTCTTCAGTATATTTTACTTATAAAAGAAATACCTTGTACCACCTCCCAGAATTGCCAGTGACCTACGCAGACTGTAAGTAGTATTTATCCTCTGAACAGGAGAGCAGATGACAAAATCCCCTCCCAAAGCAGAAAGCAAGCCCCCGACCTAAACAAACAAAAAGTATATATATTCCAAAATATATCCTTAAACATCAAGTACAAATCTGGGTTCTCAAACCACGGCTGCTCTGACAAAGTTCTGGGCTTACTCTGTCCTGCACAGGAAGGGACGTGAGCAGCTCAGACCAAGGAACAGGTCTTTTTAGCATCGGAAAAAGAGGTGGTTTATGCACAAACAACTGGCAATCAAGTGAACATAGGGAAGATCCAAACTCATGCTACAAACCCGTGCTGTGTTCTTCCAGAACAGTCTCCTCGGAGGTTTTCTGATGGCGTGTGACTGCGCTGCTCCACACAGCAGACTAGAAGGAGAACTCGTCTCCCAGCACACAGCGAAACACCGGCATGAACACGGAATTACCATGGCTATTAATTTCTAATTCATTTTTATACCATAGTGAACCCGACTGAGGGCTCTCAGCCAGGTACTGCACTTCTACCCTAAAGTATTTCAGCAAAACTAAAGTCCCGTAGTTTTGCAAGCAGCAAGATAGAAAGTAACAAAGTTGTGGCTAATTGGAGGAGAAATACACATTCGTGAGAGCACGTACAGTTAGTGCAACACAGCTACTCTGAAAGTAACGAACCAAACCGGATTAATCAATGCAGCAGACATGCAGGGTCTGCTAAGTTATGTTAAAACCATGTTTGCTGGTGATTAAATATGTCTACAGAAGATATATTACCATTTTGAATATATTTTCAAGCAGACCAAAAATACCTCATCTATTGGTTACTGGTGTGTTATTTTTGACTAATTAAATACTGAGAGGGATTTTACGCCTCTCGCTATAAAAATTGCACTTATTTTCTATTAAACAAAACAAACCAAAAGTTAGATTTCAATTCTATATTCCAGTATATATTCACATTGAAACTGGATCATCTTGTTCTAAGCTCGCAGGAGTAGGTGTAGCAGTCCTTGCTCTCCAAGATCTCCAGCACAGAAGGTCCCCTCAGCACAAACCCCTCCTTCCTCTGTGCTCTGGTCACTTCTTCATTGTAGTGCATGGGTAATTGATTTTATTTTTTTGTAAGAAAACCTGAGCTTCAAAAGTCTTTAAAAGGACCTGGAATCAAATCTGGCCCATTCTGACCCAAAACAGCTCAGTTCTGCAAGGAACTCCCTCCTGTCCTCATTTCACACAGCTCCTCCTGAGACACCACGGCTCTGACCCGAGGCGAGTGAGGTGTCAAACCCTTTCCTCCAGTCTCTCTTGACCCAGGAGACTTTCCTCCCGACACACTTCCAAGGGCTCCTTCTTCCCTCCCTTTAGCACTGCTGCCGCCTACGAGGCTTTGAAGGGCTCCCTGTGCCAATAAAAAAGTCTCTCTGCAATAAGCATGACTTCTTGGACACCGGTGATCAACTTCCTCTTGCAAAGTCTTCTCCAGCTCATAAAATGTCATCGTAATCCAATAGCTTAGAGTGCTGGCGGGTCTTCCAGAGGCGGTAAAGGCGGAAGTCAAAGTAAGTCTCAATCATTTGCTTACCTAGGAGAAGCGGAACGAAGCAGAGGGGTTACACCCTGCAGCACAAGGGAGAGATGTGAGAGGCCACAGCAGCAAAAAGTCCCCCACCCACCTATGGGTATGGGCACAGGAGAACCCACCCGTGTGCTTCAGTTGGAGAACATGGACATTCAGCACCTACCCAGAGCACGTGAAGGTGCCTGCGAGAAGCAAACAGCTTTTTGGATCTCCTCAAACCATGAAAGGCTCCTTATAATCCCCGGGCAGGGTTTGCCCATGGGGGCAGGAACTGAGCACAAAGTCTGTCTCCAGACTTTGACCTCTCTGTGCTGAATGCGGAAGGGGGGGGCTGGGGGTTGCAGAGTATCAACCAGCTCCAGCAGCCTGCATGAGGCAACCTGGCACAGGGTCTTCAGAAATAAGAAGAATAATTAACATTGGAAATTCAAAATAAAAATTGTTGTGTTGTTTGCTTGTTGTTTTTTTTTTTAAACTAAAGCTAACAGGCTGTCTCTGTCCTGCAGAGCTGTCTCTTCTCACTGCAAAGAGCCCAACAGGTCACCCGAATGCATGTTCTGTGCCACCAGCACCTCTGATGGAAGGTGGGGGTCTTGGAAGGCCGTCACAGACTGAGGGCCGTGCGCGGGAGGCAGCGGGTCCATTTGAAAACACGAGCACAAACAACCCTGGGCTCTGAGACAGGGCTCAAGGAGGGGATTTTCGCTTTGGAGGCCTGATTAAGATTAGTTTCAGATGACTTTGCAAAGGATTAGAGAGGTTACACTATAAGCGCGTCCCAGATTGATCAAGGGGATAAATCCAGACGTATTCTTCAGCCCAACCTCCTGGAAGATCAACTGCTTAAATGCTTGTGCATAGAACCCACTGCCTTGCCTGCCAAGCTGCACATAAACCCAGGAATTTCCCTGCAAGTTGCTTCTTGGCACACCCGTAGAGCATGTTCGCTGTGCCATCTGTGCAAGCACTGTAAAAAGCTGGGTCCAAACCTCAGCAGGACACGCAGAGAGAACCCTGCGCAGCTCGAACGTGCTCAACTCCCGTACATTGCTATGGCAGCAAGTGGGAGTTCAGGATAACCCCCCAGTGCTGATGCCAGCTGTGAGCAGCAGAGGAAGTATCCACAATGCTGCATGTTTTTATCTTCCAAGAGAACAAAGTACCAAGGACGATAGCAAAGATAAAATAAGAAGGGCAAATCCAGAACAGGTCGCTTATGAAGCTGCACCCGTAACTACTAACACTGACCAAAGAACAAGAAAAATCCTGCAGCCCCTGGAAATACCTTGAGCTACAGGGAAAAAAAAAAAAAAAAGCAAAGCAGACTGAGATGTAGAATGACTGTAACAGGTTACGTCCCAGTTGCTTGTTGATGACATAACTCACTTGGTACCAGTGGTTTGAGTCCTAAAGAGACCCCTGCGCACTTGGTTACAGGAAAGGTTCTGCTCCCATGTGCACTTCTCCCACAGACTTCACGTGCCCTAGTGATATGACCAGTCTCCTAAACTCAGCCTGGAAAGCCGCCTACTGCTCTGGCTACTTCGCCACCACCAGTCAGTAGCCTGGGAGAGGGCTCTGCAGCTTCGGGCACAACAAACGGGACAGATGAAATGTGAACACAAAGGGACTGCAAGGGGAACACCAGGCTCAGCAATTGAACCACACGAGGTGGTTACAAGCAAAAGGAAGACTGTGGCAGGACTTAAGGGGATCAGAATTGCTTCTTCAGGAAGATGCCCACTGAAGGAGGCAGGCTGATTAGGAAGGTGTGTGTCTGTACAGAGAATAAATTACCTTGAGCTGATAGTTCAAGTGGAGACTCAAAGGCAACCCTATAAGGATTCATTAAGTTTTTCAGATTCTGAAATAGCTGAAAGGAAAACATAGCCAGAGTTAGCAGCTGAAAACAAAGATGAACTCCAGGGCACCCAGAATTGCCCATCCTTGTTCCCTACCTCTAGAAAACCTTCTGCTCATGTCCTTTAAAACATCTAGCTCATCAGTAAATAAATAAAGTGCTTCAAACGACTGTTCTCCTCAAAGACTTCAGTATTTGTCCTGCATGTCACTTATCATTCCTCCCGGGCCCTCTGGGGAAGGCACAATCCATCGGGTGGTTCACAGCCACTCATGGGACAGGATGGCAGCACGTTCCCACACAGCAGAAGAGGAAGGTTTACACTTCACAGTGTGACTATTGCCTCCCTGGGCTTGGTGCTACTCAGCAGACATTCCCAGAGAGGCAACTCCAGGAGGCTCTTACCTTCTCCCCATTGGGGTTTCCAAGAACATAGCAGCCCATGATGTGAATGATATTTGGTTCAGGATTGACTTTACTCATCAGCCGGCTCAACCTCTTCCAGAAGCTGGAAGAAACAGGAAAAAAAAGAATACATAATTTAAAAAAATTCTGTCTCCTCATATGCATGAGTAATCACGAGGATGCATGTGCATACACTGCTCAGGTGGGGCCTGGGGCTTGTAGCCTGAGGAGCAGCTTCTCAGGAAGAGCCATTGGTTCTTACACAAAGAAGAGCAGGGGCAGAGCAAGGACCTCTGGAGCAGGACCAAGTGGTGTGGTAGAGAAGGAGGAGCATCCCATTGAGCCAAAGAAGCTCCAAGGTGAAGAGAAGGGAGAAAAATCCACCAGGAGTGCTTTTAGACTGACAGTTTTACTAAGCATCCTCTTCTTGGTAGCAGTTCCCTGCAATTTCCTCTCTCTCATTTCTATCAACAACCACCCTTTCTAAATACGAGTGTTATCACTGCACTGGTTCATTTCCAGGGCATGAAATCAGCAGAAAACAGCTAGAGAGGTGGTGGTTCTACAGAGCTAGAGAGACAACACCAAACCAGCCTGTTCCATGTCAGCCACTGCTTGGTGCCGCTCACCACTCAAACCCGCTTTACACTTTGTGACCACTGACTGGGCACACTGTGCCTAAGGGACACGAAATACAAGCACCTCCCCTGGGCAGTGGGTTAGAGCAGACTTCTGGTGGGCTCTAAAGCCCAGCAGTTCCTCTGTGGGGTCTCTGATCAGACTGCAGCCTAAGCTTTTCTCAGAACCTCTCAGGCACATACGGGCTGGATGGAGACACTCACTTCCAAGGATCCAAGTTTTCAGCTATGTGTTCACAGCTTTCTGAAGGTTCCTGAATTACCAACTTTGGACCAGCCATGCCTGGAAGGCGTTCAGAAGCGTGTATGTGTACACGTGCCTAAGAATTTTATTGACAGTGTTTGTGCCAGAGCATCAGAGCGCTGAACAGATGTTGATTTTAATACTCAGTTCTCACGCCATGTAGGAACAGGCTGGTATACATGCCCTTCCCTAAACGAAGCACTGTTGGCCAAGCAAGTCTGAGCCAACACAAGCGAGCAGGCAGCAAAACAGGCAAAGCTTCATTCTCTGCAAGGAGAAGTAAAATTGCCTCGGCAAGCCCAGCTGACAGGCTGGCGCGTTAGTGAAAACCCTCCTCAGTGACGTGCTGGACTTTGAGCAGGCTTTGCAGAGACAAATTCCATTTCCTCCTGCAATCAGGAGGGCAGTTACTGGAGGCAGTTACTGGAGGCAGCTGTGGGGTGAATGGTCTGGATTTCTGCCACTAGTCACCTGCTTAGAAACGCTGTCTCAGCCACTTCTGAGCAACAGAGGCACGAGGTGTAAGTTCTGGTTTCTGGTCAGCACAGCCTTTGTTAGGAGAGGAAACACCATTCTTTCCTCTTTTACTAGTCTCTAGTCCAGACGGACACTAAACAGCAGATAAAAGCACAAATCTTCTGGTGACCTGTCCCAGGACTGCACCACTCCAGGGATGAGCTCAGCTCTCTCATCTTCACAATTCGCCCTGAAGGAGCTGTTAGGTCTCCTCTCAGCATCCTCTCCCTCTGACCAAGCCACCCCATCTCCCTCCACCTCTCCTCCTAGCCCATATGCTATAAACACTGAGCAAACCAAGCAGAAAAAGCGCTCCACGAGTCCAGAACACAACGCAGCCACTCACAGGATCATATCTTCCTCCTTCTCCACTTTGGCGAAAGTGGCGACTTTGTTCTTTAACAAGTATAAGTGACCAGGACCTCCCTGCAAGAGAGAGACAGACAGATCACAAACCACTTGGCACAGGCCCTGAAGAAACAAACCCTGGATATTTCTTGTCCTGCCCAGCCATACTCAGAAGTGCCACCAGGGAGCAGAGCAGACATGCCAGGCTGGCACGACTGCTACCACCTCCATCGCAGACACTCACTCAGGAAATATTCACATATGGGGAGTGTATTGGGGGTTAGATTCTCCATTGTTTATGGTTATATGCCCACCTCACTCTAGAAAGGCACAATAATAGACAAAAATCTTCATTGTGGGTGGCTGGAGAGTAATAGGGAAGATAAGAAAGTCCCTTTCATTTGGGGATGCCAGGGGACTTGCCGTTGTAGGCAGACGAGAAGCTGGGCAGAGCAGGGACAAGTAGGCAAGACACCACTGGAGAAGAAGTGGACTTTGGCAGTAGCAGGCATAAAAAGATCGAGCACGATATCAGGAAAATTAAGAGTTGCAGTCTGCGGGGCAGCGTGCCGCAAGCCCTGCTATCGTGCAGCGTTAGGCACATGGGAGCCAGTTCAAGCCAGGTTACCTTCCCGACTTCCCGTTTCAAGGTTCCCAGCACAGTTGCCGGGGAAGTCCGAAGCTGACCACCCTGAGGAACAAGAGACTTGGGAAGGAAATCCCCGGCAAGCCCCAGATCCAGCAGGGCCGGAATCTGTCCCACCGGCAGCTCGGAGAGCCTGTACCCCGACCCCTCTCCCGCGGACACTGGCCACCAGCTCCAAGCTGTGCCATCTGCTGCTCTGACCCACAACAGCTGCCACTGTCTCACTGAAGCTGTATGAAAACTATCACCATCACATGGCAACTGCTTGTTCCTGTCTCCGGAATCCTCCTTTTGGGGTCTGCGCTAACGCTGGTTTGCCTGGGCTTCCTCGAAAGCAGCTGAGAAGCAGCCCGGCTCTGGACTTGGCCACACTAAACCAGATTTTATTTCCTGCTGTCACAGCAACTTGGGACTGCTCGTTATCTGGGGAAATGAGAAGCGAAAGCCGTACACACGCAGTTACTTTAACAGAACCTGATTTGGGAGTATTGGTTCCTCTATGTAATTTTCCCTGTAGAAGACAAATTCATAATAAACCATCCAAGTGCTTAACAACTTCCATGTACCTGGCAAAATATGAGCATCTTCCAGATTTTGCAGCCTTTCCGGTAAATGTTAAGCTTCTTCTCTATTTCCTCTGAAAAAAACCATGTTGGAAAAGATGAACCATGGCAGAAGTGAAAAACTAATCTTATTTCCTCTCACTTCAGCACTGAAGGCAGGAGGCTGAGCTGTGAGAGGTGCTCAGCACCCACATTCCCACTGATGCCAAAGCGAAATCTTTGCTGGGGAAAGCAGGGCCACCCAGGGCATGGCAGGGCAGAGAATACGGTGCAGCACCAGGCACTGCTCTGCAGTGACCACGGCGCTGTGCCAGACCCAGCGGCCCTGACCCTCCGTTAATGCTCCTACTCACCTGCAAGGGTACAACGAAGAGACGTCTCTGCTGCCCTGTGCCTCAGCTTCCCTTTCATAAACTGGGAGCTTGGCATAGAAAATGGGCTACAGAAGTGTGGTTTTTATTACTGCAGCACATCCAACAGCAGCTGACTGTCAGGTGCCATTGGGGTGCTAGAAACACCTTTATGAGTGGCAGCTGAGGCACAGGGCGGTGGAGTGACTTTAACATTTCACCAGTTACATTTGCAACAGGCAGGAGTTAAGAAAAGGAAGTTACACTCACATACCTAGAATGTCATCAAAGGTGGCATGTTCATGGTCCTGGAAATCAAGAGAGAAGACATATCAAGGTTCACTGTCACTACACCAGCTGCCATGACATTATTATAGTCTCTAATATTGCATGCAACCCATTCCCAGGCAAACGGATGCTCTAAGAGAACGATTATACCAACTGATGGCTTCTAGGCACATCAGAGTAATTGCCACACTAAGACACATCTCAACAAAGAAGCTGAAGACCGAATGGTCCATGAAGACCAAGTCCATCCAAAGGCTTGAAGATGAATCCTGCAGACCAGTCCAAAGCACATACCATCCATCAGGTGTAATCAGCATGAGCAATGCCTCTTAGCCCATGTTTTGTAGCCAGCCTCTGGCTTTACACGTGTCCCAGCTGGCTAACAAACAGCCACTGTCCCAACACATCTGCCTCTGGCATGGCAGGGTCATCAAGACAACCATACAACTCTCAAAAGAAGAGAAGGGCAGCAAAACCAAACCTCCCAGCAGCACTGCCTGCTGCACGTGGAGACTGTTTTCTGGGCTGTCAAGTCCCACCATTCCCTTTCAAATTAAGTGAATATAAAGTGATTTGGAAAGAGACCCATGAGTCCTTGCTGGTGTTTCAGACACCTGCTCAGGCAGGACTCCTAGTGAAAAATCAAGGTGAAATTAATGACTGACAGGGATGCATCACTGTACGTAGGGTGATGGGGTTCACAGTCCACTGCAGAGCTCTGAGGTCCTGCTCATCCTGCCTAAGGATGAGCATAAAGAGGAGCCCTAAGCCTGACATCACACAGCTCTGCCTGCGTGCTCAGGCCTGCCCTGTCTTCCCTTGTTCATCTTCCCATGCCACCTGGCTGTGCCTGCACACTCTGGCAGCCCACATGAGCAATTTTCACTCCACCTTACTCTTCCACCTAGACCCAAGTTCCCAGAAAGCTAACCCAGACCCCAAATCTGGGTTCGGCACACCTCCAGCCCTTTCCTGACAGCTTTCCCAAATCACATCAGTGTTTCAGAATCACCATAATAGGAACTAGGGATAGGGATTAAAAAAAAAAAAAAAAGATTCCCTGTATGAAGCCTGTTCCCACGCACCCCGACACAGCAGAAGTGATATACTTACGTAGAGAATGGGGATGATAGAGGGATCGTCCCTGCGGATAATTGTCGGGACATACTCTGCTTTGGGCACCTTGGAAGAAATGAGCTGGAAGGGGGAAATAAAAGAAGTGCAACAGGATGAGCAGAAGCCATTAGAGTCTGGACAGAAGCACAAAGGCCATGGTAACAGTGCCCCTGTTCAGTTGCTCACAGGTGTTACCCAAACTACCAGCTAATCCAGACTATCTGCATCCCTGTGGACGGTCCTCCAAACCTTTGGTCCACTACAGAGCACCCCATGGCCTGGCACATACCCCCGTGTGTCACAGTCTCCCTGAACCCCAACAAACGAGCACACAGCTCTGCCCAAAAGCAGGACTGAGTCTGAGATGACAGTTTGTAAAAAGGAGGCCCATGTGCACAGAGGACGAAGAAGCTCGTGCATCACCACGAATGGCTGCATCCCAGTAAAGATCCTTTCTGTACAGTCTTCCTCTGTGCGCGCGTCTGTCCTTCCAGCTGCAGAGGACTGTTCCAACCGGCACGCTCAGCTGGCCGGTGGTGGGACGGCTGCATGCCTCAACAGGAACCAGCCAAGGGATAACACAGCATCAGGCACAGGCGGGCACACAGCCATAGGATGTCAGGCAGATGCAGGTTGCCTGGCAACTCTGGCTGAAGCTTCAGCTGGCTCCATCAGCACAAGGCCAAGGGCTGTGGGAACACGGGCAATTTGGCCGTGCTGCGATTTCAGCACCTTCCCTGCTGTGAGAGTGGAGCAGGCAGCCTGGGTTGCCTTCAAAGCCTCCCACCTGGCAGGCTCCCAGCCTCTCCTTTGGCCACGGGGGAGTCAATGCAAAGTTTCCAAAGAAGCACAATGTACAGAGCCCAGGGATGGACACCCCTCATACACCACCTGGACAGATGCACTGGAGGTACCAAGGGCTGAGCAAACCCAAGGGTTGGGTTACCAGTGTTTGGGTCTCACCTGGTCACTTTGCCCTGAGGGTGCCCTGACTGCGCAGACAGCACGGGAACACATACAAAAGCAGACTGTCCCATGTCCTTCACTCTTCCCAAGTCTTAGGAGGACCCTTTCAAACACAGTACTGCTGAGCTGGACTGGCAATGCTGCCCTGAGAACAAGCTGGAAGCTTGAGACCCCATTTTGCCTGAGTTACTTGTGCCTGTGGCCAAAGAAGGGATGTGTCAGAACCTGGTCCGGTCTGCCAAACCCCACAGAGTGGAGCAAGGACAGGCACAGGGGGAAGCCCAGAGTCAAGGAATGATGAAAGAGCAGAAAGCATCTCAAAGGATGACATATGGCTCCAAAGCAAATCGGACAAGTAACAACAGGAGGGGAGAGACTGGGGACTCAGGTCTCCATTGTCAGGGTTATTGAGACTCAGGCTAACTGGATTCAGTGTTGGTGACAGTCCTGCTCTGATTTGGGGTTGGAATACGGGTTCTGGGTTATTGAGACTCAGGCTAACTGGATTCAGCGTTGGTGACAGTCCTGCTCTGATTTGGGGTTGGAATACGGGTTCTGGGTTATTGAGACTCAGGCTAACTGGATTCAGTGTTGGTGACAGTCCTGCTCTGATTTGGGGTTGGAATACGGGTTCTTCCACCTCTAGTTCTCTTTCAGCACGTTATTCCCAGCAATAGCAGATGTCATGTCTTGGCTGATCTCTGACCCTCATACACACCTGAAGAGTTGCCTATACAAAAGACTTGCTTCTTCCCATGAACATCCTAATCTTAGCAGCTCTCAAAGGACAGACAGAGCCTGAGTAGATACAGGTAGCTGAGTTGGAAACCCTCACCATTATTTTTGGTGGAATAAAGTCTTCTCCATCACACGCCATGGCTTCCAGTTCCTTTTCTGCTTCCCAGTTCAAGTCAAAGTCGCCATCCAAAGTGCCGCAGGAATCCTGAAGGTCATGGCCTGCCAGGACACAGTGTGCGTTACGAGGGCAGAAGAACTTGCCTTCCCCACTTGACCCTGTCTGGCGGTTGCCTCGCAAGAGGCACCGCCAGCCATGAGACTTGTGCCCTCCTTTCTTCCACAGAGCAACAGACACCACACTTGGGGGCTGGCGTCTCTGAACAGACAAACACTTAACGGATGAAGAGTGCACACACAGAGCCCGGTACCACGTACCACACAGCGTTTCACCACTCTCACAGTCACCCCGTTCAGCTTCCAAATGCTCATTCACAAGAGTCACCCTGCCATTTCAGAAATGGAGGAGGAGACAGAAGACAGACAGACTCTCTACAATTTAACACTGCCAAGCCGATGAACAAGAGTCTGAAGACTTCAAAGCTGGTGTCCTTGTAATAATTACTGCTCTGACTACATCTTCTGAGTGGTTTTAAAGAAACTCCACCTTGTTGGTCAAACTGATCCTGGCAGAGAAGTCCCAGAGCGTGAGGACAGCCGTAGCAAACACAGTAGTATTGCACAGTATACTTGAACTTGCTCTCCAAATTGACCTTACCTGTTGGCCTTCAATGGCTCCTGGGGAAAAAAACATCTGGAAGGAATATAATTGACCATTAAAGGTTAAAAATAGAGATGGTTCCCTGAAGCCAGGGACTGAGGAAAGAGAACCGAGATGCCTCTATTTGTGCCTTTTGGGATGTCCGAGTGTCACCGGGCAGTGCCTGGAGCCTGTCTGAACCATGTCTTATCCATTCGCCTCCGCGTTAGCTGAGGGAGTGGGGAGGAATCAGACTGCAAAGGAACAATCGGGTCATGTTTCAAACGTGGCCTTTCATACATCTCCCCCTCCAACCTGGTACGGTGTCTTCTACAGCTAGGAGGGCTGGATCTCATGCTTACCTGGTAGGTCAGTTCATTTCATTAGGGAAATTCATTTATGATACAATCCATTTCAACATGGGCAAACTCGTATCCACCAAGTCCTTTGCCTACAGGATTTCAATAAAATCTGGGTAAAATAGCTGTTCCTGTTATAAAGAGACAGTGGGAAGATGCTGGCATTTCCTCCTGTAAATTAACAAAGCAGCATCTCAGTCCCCACAAGCAGAACATCGCAGCATTACTGGGGATTCCCAGAGGAATTCCTGGCAGCCCAAAAGAAGATCAGATTGCCCCAAGCTATCATCTGTGCGGCCAGCATGGCCAGCAAATCAAAGCTACATCTCATAGAGCGCTGCAGCTGTGCTCTTGAGCTATTCTAGCCTAGGAAAGAGCTCCGAAGGGGCTCTTGCACGGGAAGCCAGGCAGGTTAGCCCCACTGTGGTGCACGTAGCCTTGGACTGGTGTGCTTCCAGGTAGACTGTTTTGGTCCCAAGCGAATAGGTGATGATGGGAACAGAGGGCTGTAAGAGAGCTGTACCACTGGGTATCCTTTGGCAACTGCACAATAACGTGAGGTTAGATGCCTTGTGCTCTACAAATAACTAGAGGTACACACGGATGAACAGGTGCATATACCTGGAGTGTTATTTGCTCAGATCTCATGAAACTAAAAGGATCACAGATGGGACAAAAGGGCACAGAGGAGCTACTCCAGTGGGACTCCAGTCAACACCTCAGCTGGAGGGCTTGGCCACAGGAGGAAGCTCAAAGGACTCAGAACTCACTTTCTCGAGAGTCATGGAAGGAATCAGCTTTGATGGGAGTCGGGTCACTCCAGGACCTGCTGAAGCTTCTCTCACGCCGTTCGGCAAATGCTAGGATAAAACCAAAGCACGACATTAACAGACTCCAAAGCCACCTCTGCTGCTGCCAGCAAAACAAAACATCCAGTAGATTTCCACCAAAGCCACACACCATAGACTCCCCTGTGCTTGTTCTTCCACTTGCCAAACGTGAGTCCTTTCCACACAGCAAACAAGGATCTTCTAGACAGCAGAAGACAAAGTGCCCGCTTTCCAAGCAGGACCATTACCGGGTATGTAACACAGAAAAAGGAGTACACCTGATGGCCTCTCCTTAAATGCACACGACTCGAACCTCAACTTAATCCAGGCTATTCCAGTGTCAATGCTCTGACTCAAAGGCGTCACAGGAAAATGTACCCAACAGCTGATGACATACATGACCAGAAGAAGGCAGTAGTTCTCCAGTCAGTTCTCCCTTTGTGTTCTAGTGATCTGGACCAAACAGAAGGGGGGCCTCTGGAAAGCTCATGCTTTCTATGTTTGGTTGCAAAAGAGGAAATCCTTCAGTTTTTGCTTGCCTGCATTCTTGTGAACATTCTCCCTTGGCTTTTTTTTTTTTTTTAATTTTATTCCAACAGGCATTGCATTGTTTGTACCAGCATTTCCCAAGCAGAACCCCAGGAGCTTGGCCCAGCTGGCTGCATCGCAGGCAAATTCCTGGGAACTGCCAACCACAATGTCTGACTTGGCAAGCCGATGTGAGAGCCATTACACCTAGATTAACAGCCACTTATAGCCACTAATACCTATTTCTGGTAGCAGACAGAGCAAGTTTGCTGCAGTGTATCTAGTGACAGCACCTCGTGTCAGCAGCACAGGAATTCACTGCAGATCTGCGTTACAAGAGCTGAGAAGCAACCTGTCCTCTGCTGCAGCGTGTCCAAGCGTGGGCGTCCACGGAGATCAGTCAATAGGAAGTTCTTCAGGTGACGTCCATCCTCAGCTTTCATTTAAAACCAGGCGCTGAGCTACTGTGCACATGAAGAAAGCTTTGAAAACATGACCCGAGAGTTACCAGAGGCATGCCTGAACTTCCAGACAGCTCTAGGGGGACGTGAGCCCTGTTCACTTCAGGCAGTGCTAACTCAGATGCCAATAAAGACACTTCAAAGGGCAATGCTGTTTGCTGTTCACTTCCCACAGCATACCAGAAAGGAGAGGAAAGAATGCAAATTCAACTCGGCAACGCTGTGCTGCGGGCAGTCTGTACGTGATGCCTGGCCAGGGAGTGGGAAGAACAAGCTGTTTCCTCTTCTGGAGCAATCCTCAGCTCTCGGGAGCGGGCTACACCATTCTTATCCCGTTTCACAGTGTTAAGGGAGCTGCCCCAACCAAGGTACGGAGGAGTGTCGCCTTCCTCAGGGAAAGGGAACTGCCATTTCCCAGGCCTAAGAGATGATCTTCCTCAGTGAAGCTTAACACTCTCTTATTTCTCCCTTGCTCGAGTCTCTTCCCTGTTCCTCTTCTTTCTGCCTTCCACCGTCCTCTCAGCTCCCGCCAGGTCCTGCTGTGAAGATGGTGGTGGGACAGGGGAGGAGAAAAGAGAAAGCCACCAGTCCGTGTGGCACGTGAAGCACTGACCGTCCCCAGGGAGCCACAGCTGGTCCACAGCCTCAGTGCGAGGCCAGGCAGCCCTCGCCAGCTCTGCTGAACTCAGCTCTGGTTCTCCTCACAGGTGTCTATGCCGGTGATCACGGAAAACCACACGCCCATGGGACACGGACGCTGCAGCTCTCCTTCTGTTCCTCGCTCTGAGGCCACAGAGATCTCCCATGGCCAAGGCAGAGGGTCCAAGGCTGCTTGCAGACATCTGTGTGTCCTGGAGCCTTACAACAATCTGGCCTCGTTTTTTGTAGGGTGTAACGGCATCAGCAGGTCAAATCCTTTCTCCAGTCCAATGCTAGGTCACTTCTACCCATATCTGCAAGCAACATAGGGTTCCCCATGTCCCACCAGCACAAACCCCAACTCCTCACAGCCGCATCTTACAGGTGCTCACTTACTTTGTGCTTTAACCCTTCGGCTCCCCACCATGCGGAGGTGCTTCCGAAAATTCCTGAAAGACAGACCAAACACAACCTCTGAGAAAGGCAATACAAAGCAATACCTGGGCCCAGCAGGACTGAAAAAAACTGGGAAGAAAAAAAATTAAGATTGGGAAGACAGCATATTTCCTTCTGGGAATTCAAAAGCTGGAGACTGAGTTCCCAGCCTGCATCTATTCAATGCTTGGGGACAGTTACGTTTGTCAAGAGTGTTCTGAACTCCCTGGGCTGGTGGTACAGGGCTAGTGAGGTCCTACCTGGCAGTCCCCTTCTCACATCCTGCTTTCCCCTTCCTGTGACTAAGGCACCTGTGCTGGAACTTTGCTGAAGACACTGCCACTGCCCATGCTGGCAATGCTGCCTCTCCTCCTGCTGAGCAGCAGTAACTGCTCCCCTCTCTCCCTTCTCCCACACGTGCTGCAGCAGGGAAGTGGGTGCCCAGGCTCTGCCCGGCCAGGCAGCATGCACACACCACGCTCATGGCTGTGCTCATTCCCAAACGCATTCACGGCAGCTGCTAAAATCCTGCCCGTGCTGTTAGCAACCATGCAGGCCCTACTGCTCGCCAGGGCTAAGAGCTGGGAGAGGCTGAAGAAGCTTCTTTCTTCTCAGATAGTGAAGAAGCTTCTTTCTTCTTAGGTAGTGCTGTTCAGCGAAGCTGACTGTCCTCATGGGCCTGCTCTCTGCTAACGCTGCCTGCCTAACCGCGTGCTTCCCTGCCCAGCACTCACAGGCTGGGTTCAGTGGGGCTGCAGAGTACTCAGCTCCAGAGGAAAGGCCACCAGTGGGTAAGCCTGGAGAAGCAGCTACACCCAGTAGTCAGGTCTGTGTAAAACAGACAGTCCTGGCCACTCCTGAGAGACCATGGCAAAGGGACTCTTTGTCCAGCCCCTCCTGCAAAGGACCTGCTTCCCTTAGTTTCTCATTGCTCACCTAGACAGGAACCAAACAAGACACCAGAGGAGACACAGGGAAGAGGCAGCAAGCGGTCTAGCAAGAAAAGCGTCACTCCTCCGTGAACTCTACTCAGGGTGACTTCACCCACGGCCCCCCGGGATGTCAGTGAGCCCACGTACCAACAGCCTGCATGGAATGAGGGAGCCTTCCTAGATTCCCTCCCGCCCCACCAACACACACCGCAGACATCGAGCAACAGAGACTACTGCTGGTGAAAGAGGTAAAACGACAAGTCGTCTGGCTCACACACGAGTTAGTGGGATGAGTAAGGACATGTTACAACCATGCAGATGCTTTCACAAGCTAGCTGGACTAGAAGACACTTCCAGCACCAACATCAAGTTGCTCAGGGCAAGTGAGATACGTCTGCTCCGATACAGAGAGATCAACCCAAAACCAGCCCTCGTGGGAGGGAGAGCACTTAACCCACAACACCTCCGGCACTGTCCCCTTCTTTGGCCCCCACGTCATCATCAGGATCCAAATCCAGCAGCTCAAGAAGGAAAACTAGCAGCTGGGTAGTGAAGCTGGGAGCAACATCATTCCATGACAAATTCCCACCTGCACTTGGGCTATTCATGTGATTTTACAAAGATTTCTTTTAGCTCTGCTTGGATACGTGAAGGTTCCCTGTTGTGCATCAGACAACTGTCCCCCTCAGACAAGTAACTAAACCAATTTGCTTCACTAACACATGCTGGATTGGCTCTACGTACAAAGCCTTCCGGGTGCGTGTGGACTGGTAACACGGGCTGTCTTACTATGCATTAGATTCAAATCCAAATAAACACAATATTTTAAAGGAAGCAGGGCCGTTCTTTACACAGAAAAATCTTAGATATACGCTGTAACTCATCAGAATGAAAATCTTTATGGTCCGTTGTGAGTCCAAAATCATAGCAGGCACTGAGACCGAGATCATACCAGACACTGAGCACCAATGTTACAACCTTTGGGCTTTGGGCATTTTGGAGTAAAATCCATTTTTCTGATCAATGCTCAGTTGTCCACTTTGCCGAGGAGCTTCTTCAGACCCTGGAGAGCAGGAGGATAAAGCTGTCTTTGCCATAGAAGAGTGCTGCTCCCAGCTGCCTAGACAGCTTGGTCTCTCCCGTGAGCATGAGTTACGGGCAGCTGTTTAGATACATCTCCTCAACACTCCTGAGAGCAGCTCCAGGCAGAATCCAGCTGCTCAAGGTTAACCATCACACTAAACGGTTGGAGAACGGGACAAAGGTCTTCTTTCCTTCCTCAGCTCTTCTAGTAAAAAAACACTGTGGAAAGGAGATCCAAGCCTGGAACTGCCTCTTAATGCCTCCCCCTGTGGCCATCTAGATCCTTCCGAGGGTTTTCTGCAGCCGTATTGGTCCTCAGGCCCCTCTGTGCTTGCACATTAGCACAAAAGGACGGCACAGCACCCCTGGGGGAGCCACACTCTGCTCTGTGAGCCCTGGGGCTACACAAACCTGCCCAGTCGTCCTGCCTGGCTCCTGCAATTGCACCCAGAAAGCCCAGTGTTATTTGATCCCTAACAAGATCTCTTCACCCATCAAAATCCAACAAGCATCCCTCAAGTTACAGTGATAAAACCTCCTTATTACTCTCTCCTGAATACTCCTCCTCCTGACAGGCTCCAGCTTGCCACGCAGACCGCACAACTCCAGGCCACCTCCATGGGATCCATCCCAGCCAAAGGGTCTCCAAGACACAGCAGCCCCGCTCCGCACGCTCTGCCTGCAGCAGTTCATTCGCACGCTGCGGAGAAGCCTTTTAATTACCCAAACAGAGGGCGACGACAGCATGACTGACGCGTATCACGGCTCTGCAAAACTCCCAACAGCACCTCTCACGTTCTCCTCCCCAGCTCCTCCTTGCAGCAGCCGCAGGGTTCACCAAACCACCGGGCATCATCACTCTCGAGGCAACACCCACTGCACCAGCACACGCGCTGTGCCACGCAAACCAGCCTCCCTGTGCCCCAGACTCCGAAACACCTGGAGCTGCCCAACAAGCATCCGAAAGGTCCTCCTCACTCCCTGGAAAAGAGAGCTGAGTGCTAACTGCCAGCAATCCTTACAGCTGGCCAGGCTCTGCTTGCATGGCACAGCCAAAAACCCGCGTCGACAAAAGCCCATCACTGCCTTCCTGTCTCCTCTGCATCACAAGATAAACGCAGATGGGCTCCCACCGCACAACCCCGCCTAGACCTTTGGTGTCCACAGGAGGTGAGGGGACACGCTGGCTGCTCAACACAAGGATGACACGACTCCATCCGCTATCCTGACAGCTCAGCATCACCGAGGTACACAACCCCTACTCCTGTATTTGTAAGCCATATGAACAAGCTGTTTTCTAACAAAGAATTGTCTCTGTCTAAAAAATTCTGAGAAATCTCTTTCTTTTTAAAGATACACTGTCTGTTTATTCACAGCATCTTTAGTTTTCATTCTTATTTCTCTTCATGATTGATGAAGAAAACCCACTACCCTTAAGCTGCTAAAAAAAATATCTTCCTGGAAATTTCCCAGTTAAGAAAACCTGATGTTTTTCTCCCACTTTGTTTTGAACAGCAGTGAAGCGATCATGGCAGTTTTTAACCAATGACACAAATACTGTGTTATCCTTCTTCGTAGGCTGCCAAATACACGAGCCTTGGCCCATTTGAAAAACCAGAACAGTTCTGATTACCACAGCAATTAAGTGATGTGCCCTGGGAAGCCAACAGAGGGAAACCAGGACCCTTCTGTAATACCCAGAGAAGGAATCAGTCCCAATCCTCTTTTCTTTCTTTCCTGTTCTTTCAAAAAAAAAAAAAAAAAAGATTAAAAAAAAATAGAGATGTTAATTTTGCTTAGGTCTCAGATTTTTGAGGTGCATTTGTAGATGCAGAAACAGCACATAAAAGTCACTGGTTAAATATTCAGCTAACCTCAAAGAAATTCCAAATACGTGGGAGAGGGCTGGGAAAAATCGCATCTTTCATTTTTTATATGTATTCTATATTTTTCTGCCTGAGACACAGATCCTGTATATTATATTTGGAAGCTTAAAAGAAACTTGACAGTGTTCCTTTAAGAAGATGGAGATCAGTTATCTTGAGCAAGGCAGCATCATCCACCTCCACTCTTCCAACCCAGCCACTGCTCGTGTCCCTACGAACAGCAACACAGACAGGGACGACCACGTTCGACGTCATCAAGCGTCACTAATGACACCCGAAGGGCCCATGCAACACCAGGCAGGGTGATGGCTATGGGAGAAAATGGGCCCTACCTCTGTATAACAGCTGCAGAATCATTCTCTCGTTTCCGTCTCTTCCTCTCTGCGTAGCCCCTGAACGCCCTGGGAAACCATTTCAAGCCATTAACCAACTACACAGCTTTGAACTCAAGAGGACACGAAACACAGACAGGAAAGCTCTCACCAGACAACAGACAGAGGTCAGGCTGACTGAGGAAGACCACCAGCCCTCGCGGGACTGCGTGCGAGTCAGGGGCCAGGCAAGAGACTCACCAAACCAAAGGTCCTCACTCCCTAGGGCAGGTGGTTGGACAAGCAGTTGTTCCTAAAGCAAACCTAAGAGTGGCCCAAGAATGGAGGCGAGCAGCCATCGTCCCTGCTACGGAGGAATGGACCTAGGAGACTGCAGACACAAAACCTCTGCACACCAGGATCAAGAGGGACAAAAGCATGCCAGCAACTGGAGTCTCCATTGTGAAGATGAGGATGGTTGCGGTGTGGTCCATGTAGGCCTACCAGGTGTAGCCATCTAACCTGCTGCCAGCTGACAAACAGCCCTAGCACAGGGAAAGCACGAGTGAGTACGACGGACAGGAGAGGAGAGGAGAGTTTATCCAGGACAGCAACAGATAAGGGAATAAAAAAAATGAAGATTATACTTACGAGATGCTAGAGATTCCAGGAGATGCAGGGAAAAAGAAAGAGAAGAGGAATTCATTAGTGCTCAGCCCCGGCCAGCGTTCTGAGGGAATTCTCACTCAAGGAGGAATACTTCGTTAGGTGGAAGGAAACTGCTTTTTAAATTAAACATTTCTCAGTGGTGAGACTCCTACTTGACCGAGCTAAATCCTCCCTGGGGCAGCATTGGCATGTGGCTTGGATGCAAATTAAGGTCCATGTAGACCCAGAGAACATGCAGATGTACAACTGACAGCTGAACGTGACCCATCAGGCTATGACAGGAGCTCAGCACCATGGGCTTCTGGAGCAGGAAGACCTTCTCCCACAGTGACAAAGACTTGTGAAGGCAGCTTATGCTGTCTGGGCTACAAAGGAAGCAAGCATGGTGGGCTGAAAACACTGGAGCAGAGGCCAGGAGGACAAGGGCACCCGGAGGAGCCATTCCAACCAGCTTAGGGAAGGGCCCTCAATTTCTGAAGATATTTCTGTGCCACTTCTAGAGGCAGCACAGAACCTCCAGAATTGTTAACCAGGGAGCTACATTAACCAAGGGAGCTGTGCTCCTCAAGAGTCTCCTTATGGCATCATTCTCCAAACCAACCTCACTTTGGCCTCCAGCAGCTCCAAGCCTTGTAAGCCCTACCATGGGCCACCGTCCTGCAACAAACCTTGTGCACAGCAAAGATGACTTCAGACAGCAAAGGATGTGCCCGAAGGCAAAGGAAACGTGCTGATTTCGTGCACGGTTTGGTGTGTCAGATCAGAACTGTAAAATACCATTCACTGTTACCAGCCAACGTTTCTGAAGAGCAAAACATCTGTCAAATTGCCCTCAGACTGCCCACAGGCCCTGAAGAAGAGGCAGAGGGACACAGAGGTCAGGTAAGAGAAGCAGCACCAGGACAATACAGAGAGAGCAGAAGCCCACGGAGACTCCTCACTCCTCCTGCCAGGGTGGGATTAGCACCCCTAGGTGCTAGCGGGTGCTAATTAAGTGGGGTCCTAATTAAGCGGGGTGCTAATCCCACCACAATGCATCAGATTCCACAGACTGGCACCAGGCAAATGCCTCCCCAGCGCTGCTCCCCATGCTGGGAGGGTGGGTCACACCTCCAGCTGAGCTGGTGGGAAAGGGCATGAAGATAAGCGTTTTTTTCTGGGGAATGCAGATTCCTTCCAATATCTCTGCAGCTCTCCAACACTGGATCTAGCCCTCCCTGCATCAGTCCTTACAGGTCTGATCCAGTCTGGGTTATCCCAACATCAACAATCAGCCTCTTTTAGAGATTTGGAGAGGGAAAAGTACAATGGAAAGAAGAAATGGCAGAGAAACAGGTTACGAAAGGGACGCTGGGTTAGGTAAGGAGAAGTAAAGAGTAGGAGAGCTGAGAGTGACACAGACATTGGAAGAAGAACACAGGAAAAAGGTGAAGAGGCTGGAGAAGGGCTTTAGAAGGCACACCAGTATCTCATTTCCCTCATTGCCTGCCTTAGCTTCCAAGCCAGGTAGGAAACTCCTGAAACCAGGAAGATGGCATTTCCTGACAAGCTGGGTACACCCCTGAAATGAGGCTTCTCTTACTTTCTTCAGGCCTTCAAGAACTGCCTCCTCCCAACGCACAGCAACTGGGGCACCCAAACCTGCATGGAGTGCGGAGAGAGAGGCTGTTCCTTGCTCAGATCCGCTCACAATTGGCAGAAATTTTACTGACACCTTCTTCAAATGGCCAGACTAGCACAGAAGCTGTAGGGCTTTATCTCATCCTACATGGACGCACTCCTCCAGAGCGATGGATGCAGGGCAAGCCTGGAACAGCATTTCCTCGGGACGGTGACTGCAGCAGAAGCAAGTGGTGGGAGAGTCTCAGCTGGTGCTG